GAGAGAGAGAGAGAGAGAGAGAGAGAGAGAGAGAGAGAGAGAGAGAGAGAGAGAGAGAGAGAGAGAGGGTTGGTGGGCGAGCAAAGAAAAGGCTGGGGCAAAACGGTGGAGGAATTTGCAAAAGGCGTTTAAAAAAGAAAAGTAAAAATAATGGCGCTGAAATACCAAAATGATAAGAAATAAAGTGTGATTTGGAAACAGAAGGAAAAGTTGGGGCTGGAAGCTTCAATTGAGGTCGAGCTCCGAACGCCGCCCCAGAAAATAGGTCGGAAATAACATGATTGTGGAAATTAAATTAAATTAAATTAGATAATTAAGAAGGGGAAAATTGGCAAGCGGCGCCTGAGTCGGGATCCTCGCCGTTGAGCTCAACCCGCCTCTCATGTCTTCTGTCATTTCTCTCTCTCTCTCTCTCTCTCTCTCTCTCTCTCTCTCTCTCTCTCTCTCTCTCTTTTTCTTTTTTGGTATTGAAAATGCGCCCGTGTAGCATTTTAGCTCTCCGTTGTTACCTCGTCCCATCTCATCTACCGTCTTTTGCCATTTCAGTCGTTTTTCTTTTTTTCTTTTTTTCTTTTTTTCTTTTTTTCTTTTTTTCCCTCTTTAAAAATGCGGTCTTTACCCGCTTAGAACTCACGATCATTACTACATTACCGTATATACTATAGCTGTGTCTACACACTGGAAGTTGCCCCAAATTCTATAATACAGTAGTACCGTCGGTTCTAGTACTATGCTAGAATGACCAATACTATAGTACCGTTGGTTCTAGTACTATGCTGTAATGACCGTCTGTTCTATTGGGGTAAGGACGATAGTCTCGTCTCATCTTAGTGCTCATCGATCTTGTCTTCTAACTTAACCCTGATATCTTCTCTCGTATTTATTTTCATCTCACCTTTGATCAGATATGTATGTTATATGATTGTTTTTTTTTCTGTTTTTTCTTGTTTTTTTTTCTTTTTTTTTTCCTTGCTCTTTTCAATTTTGCGCTCTGATATCTTTGTGACGATATATATGTCCTCTTCTCCCTCTCTGCCCCTACGGTTTACCGGGCAGCTCTGTTTGACGATATATATATGGCTGTGTGCAAGTGGGTCGATATGACACACGGGGGTGGAGGCAGCCGCCGCTCAACCTACATCCACGTGGGGGGCCTTGTACGCAAGAGGTTCTGAACAGGGGGACTTGGAAAGAAGAAGATAAAAAAATGAATTCATTTTTTCTTGGTTTTCTTCGCTTTTGCGCTCTGATATCTTGTGACAATATATATATATATATATATTTTGCCCCTCGTTTGTTGTCCTCTTCTCTCTCTCTGCCTACGGTTTACCGGGCAGTTCTATTTGACGATATATATATATATATATCAAATATACTATGAGTCGGTGAAACTCCGACGAAACAGTTTGTCACAGCCCCTCGTTTGTTGTCCTCTTCTCCCTCTTGTCCCTCTCTGCCCCTACGGTTTACCGTAGGCAGCTCTGTTTGACGATATATATATATCTAGATATATAGATATAGATATAGATATAGATATAGATATATCGTCCATGCCATTTTTTCTTATTTTAATTTATCCTGTTGTCATCTTATTTCACATAATCCCTTTCCATCTCCTTCGTTATGACATCTCTCACCCGCTTCTTCTTTTTCTCTTCCCATTTCCTGTAATAAATCAACATAAAAATCAATGAATACTGATATAGTATTATAGATATAGTAAATACAGCATAATTAAATGAATGTAAATAACTAAATACGGGAATAAATGACTGCTAAGAATATAAATTAATAAATGAATCCGCCTCGGCATCCGCTTCTTCTCTTATGTAATATAGGGTCAATTGCTTCTGTCCTAGCACATTTCTATTTATTTATTTTTTCAATTCATTTTGATATTCTTTCCTAAATCCTTTTGTGCCTCCCCTCGCCCCTCMCCCCCCCCCCCTCTCCTCCCTGAAATCGCAGCAGCATTATGCTCTCGSCTCTSTCGTAGGTGTTGAGCACCCCCCCWCCCCCCCACCCCCCCACCCCCCCCGGCCGACTTTTCCTCTCTTTTCCCCCAATTGCATCGTTATATATATATATATTTATTTATTTATTTTTCGTCACATGAGCTCTGCTTTCTTTCCGCAGCCAACTGGCCCTACCGTCTTCACCCGAATAGAATGCCCGGTCATTATAGCTGCATTTGGTCAAAATTTAAGTCTAAATGCAGTGATAATGACCGGGCGTTCTATTCGGGTGAAGACGGTAGTGCAACCTCAGTGTCGTAGGGCTGCTACCGCATTTAGTCAGAGGCTGCAGTCCATTGATGGGGCCCGGTACCTGCTGGGAATCGGGCCCAGCGTCCCATTATTTACAACTTACAAACATTTACAATCGTTTACAACCATTTCGAACTTTTTACAATCATTTCCAAAATTTTCCAAATTTTTACAATCATTTCCGAATTCTTACAATCATTTCCAAATTTTTACAATCATTTACGAACATGTGGTAACTTCAGTACAGTCACAAAACCAGTTCGAAATTATACTTCAGTCATTCCCCTCGAACATAACACCTCCCCCCCCCCCACGTAACCCTTACCTGACCGGAAAGCTAGCTTGTATGCATTCAATTTGCCCGAACTGCAATTCCAAACGTTTTTTTTTGCCCAAAGTGTAATTTCAAACCGTTTCTGTGACCGCCACGTAGTTTACCTTACCAAAATTTTCAACCATTGACCAACTTTTACAAGCGTGCACGAAAACGTCGACAAACATTTTTACTTATTTATTTATCTGTTTATTTATTTATTTATTTATTTATTTATGAGATAAACTGGTCCTTATAATCCTGGCCCCCATATCCCTTCTGGGGAGCATCATTCCGGTTCGTATTTTCTCCTGGCGAGTATTAAAAAACAACAACAACATTATTTTACATCATACACCCCCACTCACGCACCCTTCGTCCGGCCGCCTGCCCGGCCGAAGGGTCCCTCTTAACAGCATATAGATTATTATGCCATAATTTGATTGATGGAGCACTGCACTGACTGTCAGCTTGCCTTTCCCTGTTATTCGTCTCAGGTGTTTTTCTTCGTCTCTGTTATTCGCCTCAGGTGTTTTTTTTCGTCTCTGTTATTCGTCTCAGGTGTTTTTTTCGGTCACTAGAGAACCTGTCAGCTAAACGTGAATGCAAGAAAAAACAGAGATAGAGAGAACTGCAGTGACCCTTGCGGAAATAAAAATCGTTCCTTTCAACCACCAGTATACATCCGGGGCAAGGTCCCACTTGCGGAAATTAGGAGATTTCGGCCGTCGATCGTTGCTATCTACGGTCAGCATCTCTTAATTCGTGCAAGTGGGACCAAGCCCCCGGAAAAAAGCAGATTGAGCCTCTCCTGAGCCGCAGTGTAGTGATCGTACAAAAAAAAAAAGAAAAAAAAAAAAGAAGGGGATTGGGAGGAGATCCGGAATTACAGACCGATCTCCTTGCTCACCCTTCCCTATAAGATTTTGGTTGACACCCTCATTGATTGACAAGTGCTTCCGCACATAGATCAGGCTGGCTTTTTATTGCAGGAAGATACAATTTTTCTAGATACCGTCCTCCTACTTTAAATGAGTCTGTTAGTGAAGTCTGCAATCAGACTCGCTCTCATTAACACTTCTCATGCATGCAAACAGGTGCGCAGCTCCTGGCGACAAGCGCCCACTCAGAACTCAGAGATATGGTAACCGAGAACACAGATCAGATACAAGTTCGCTTCGATGGCTATGGCGACTCAGCGCCCACACAACTCTCTGTTCGCATACACAGGATCACCCTGGATATCCCACACGCGTTACTCTGAACACACACACACACACACACACACTGAACTCTAACTACAGCTATGGCGGCTATGGCCGCTACTGCCCTGTCGCTATGGCTACACTCCTTCTCTCTCGCCCACTTCGTCCTGGGGCTCACTGCAGACCACCTCGCACAAGTCGCTTCTGGCTGCGCTTCCGC